TACCCTCATCTGAAGAAGATGAGGGAGCTTTAAATTCTCTCGTTCAGCGAGTTAGGTTTTGTTGGTCCGGTTCTTTGGCTGGAGATGCCGACTTTGTCAACCTTTTGAGTATATAATATAGTAGTTTTCACTTTATTTTCCATTATCCCTGTATCATCCCTATATAATCCCTAATATAACCCCAATTCGGTTCCACAGTGGGGTGAACGTTTGGAGCCGGCTTCGGGAGGGATGCCGCAAGGACTAATGGTCTCGGGATCAGCTTTGCCGTGTGTTCCGTCGCAAAGTCTTGTGAGCGTTTGCAAAGGAGCGCTTGGTCTCTGAGGATGAGGAGAAGAAGGCCCGGGTCAGTTGCAACCCCTGGCAACCTTTTCACACCTTCCGCCCTGGCCGTTCATAACTGCACCTGGTGTACATCATCAGGCCAGGAGTATCAGCAAAACCCTCTGTTAGTTTGTCATCAGCTCGCGTGTTTCAATACTTTGCGGGTGGGGTGCGTGAACCGTTTAGGCTTGACATTTGCCACTCCGAACTGCCAGGTCGTCATCCGACGCATGCCTGTGGGCGTGGTGGCTGTGATTGCGTGGCTCTGCACTGACACAGATGTGCGTTCCTGTCACAGTGGTTGAACAGAACCAAAGGCCAACTGAGTTCATTTGCATCCCCAGGGTGCCTCGCTTGTCCTGACATTTGTGCCAAGAGCTTTCGCTTGGCATATGGTGGGTACCAAGAGGACGGTCGTTCTGTTACAGAGGGGACGTTTTGAGTAAAGTCATGAACAGTTGGCAGCGCTTTGAGGGCTTTGCTAGGCACTGAAGCTATCTCGGACCCAACTCATGTGGGTATCCTTTTCGCTGCGTTGTGTCCCGTTTTATCCGTATAGCACAAACATCCATTGCGTGAGCTTTGCATGACCCACGCCCCTTCATGGCTCCTTTTCGAAACCTTAGGCCTTAAATCCTTCAACATTGAAACTGGGTTGCTGTTAGGGAACTTAATTTCAGTTACTATACTGGGGAAACAATATTAATTCCCATAGATACCCATTATAGTAACTTAATTCAAGTTCCTTAACTGCAACCCAGGAAAGGCCCATCATAAGGGTTCTTTGTAAGTCAGGCCGTGGAATGCGCCCATCGTTCTGGGTTGGAAGCCGACTGCCACTGCGTTGGCCTGCGGAAACCCAGCCACTTGCTTCAGTGTCGGGGTGTTGGGATATTAGGTTATGGGTCAGGGGTTTGGGGTGTACAGGGCCAAGGGTGTTGCGTCTTCGACGTGCAGGGTTCCTAGACACCTCAAACAAAAAGCGAGCTTCTATACACACAGCGGAGCCCCCCAGCAGTTTTGAAGTTGGCAGGCGCTGAACGCTTGATACTATGCCATTTGTTCCTCCCCCGTGCCCCCCAGCCCCAGGGAAATCCCAGACCCCGAATAAGGCACAACAAGTTGCAACCATGACAAGGAATACATACTCACAACAGGTGTTTGCATACGCACGACAGGTTTGCATTGTGTGCATGACAGCTGGTTTATCACGACTGCTCTACTTGCCAACTGCTGCTACGTGAGGCTCAGGCACAAAAGGGGTTTTGTGCAGGAGCTCCGTGGTTGCTTTGGTTTGAAGGATGAGAGGACGAGCTATTTCCAGCAGAAAAGCAATGCAAGCTTGGAGGGTCGAAACCCAGTTCGGCCCCCCTGATTACTCCATGCTTTCGGCACTTTCAGCCCTCCAAAG